TCCATTGCACCATGTGGTGATTAAATGGTAAGAGTGGGGCAGGAGAGACGGTTCAGTTGGGAAAATCCTTGCCTTGTAAGCTGGGTCCCTGGCAGATGTGTAAAGATGGTGGAGGTGAGATGGTGCATGTTTGTAACCCCGGGGCTGGGCTTGTAGGGACAGGAGAATTCCCAGGACTTGCTGACCAGCCAGTCTCACCTAATTAGTGAGATCCAGACCACTGAGAGACCCTGCCTTCAAAGAAGGTGGACGGAGCTGGGTGGTGGTGGCGCACGCCTTTAATCCCAGCACTCGAGAGGCAGAGGCAGGCAGATCTCTGTGAGTTCGAGGTGAGCCTGGTTTACAAGAGCTAGTTCCAGGACACAGGGCAGGCTCCAAAGTTACAGAGAAACCCTAGCTGGAAAAAACAAAAAAACAAAAGGTGAACAGCAGACGGCAGCAGACAGCATTCCTGGATGACACCCAAGGGTGTTCTCCGACCCCCACATGCATGCAAGCATGCACACACACACACACACACACACACATGCACATATACACACAAGCATACACACACACACTAAAATAAAATAAAATAAAATAAATAACACGATTCATACTGAGTGCTTTGTACAGTGCCTGGATCCTGGCAAGGTGGGAGCAAAGGCCGTATAAAAGTCAGAAGAGTCTCAAAGGGACGGGGGCAAGCATGCTCTTCCCAAGCCTTCCCAGCCTCGAGTGCAATGGGAAGCCACTGAAACTCTCAGTGATGGAGACCCTGAGTCACTAAGCTCCATTTCCAGCTGTTCCTGTAGGGTTGCTTTAGGGGAGCTGTGTAACCTGTAAGGCCAGGTAATGATGCGTGTCCCTGTCTCTCAGCATCTGACCTAAAGCACAAACAAAAGATACCTTACCTGGGGAAATCCTTATGACCGTGGAGGTGAAAGGGCTTTCAGAAAAGCAATTTTCCACTTCGAATCTTTCGAATCTTTAAAAACATTTAACTTAATTTGGATGCAATTAAACATTTGGATTAGAAGTTTTTAATCTCCGCTGTGGTTCCCAAGCTCTCTGGTGCCACAGAATTCTCAAGTCACTTTAGGGGACTAAGACTGCTTGTTCCTGTGACTAGGGGAGGAGAATTCTACCTGAGTGGTGGCATGAATGCATTTAATCCCAGCATTCAGGGAGGCAGAGGCAGAGGGATCTCTGTGAGTTCAAGGCCAGCCTGATCTACATAAGCACATTTCAGGCTAGCCTAGGCTGAATAATGAGACCTTGTCTCTAAAAAGAAGGGGGGGCAAGTATCCAGGCTACTCACTTTTCTCAGAGCTCCCTGGGCTGTGATATGGAGAACAGGAGAGACGGCAGAGGTCTGTTGTCCAATGATAGGAAGCAATGTTTCTAACTGGAACTATGTATGTGACCGGAAGCTTCCTGTAATCATTAATAAATTAAGGCTCCAGGGTGGGAGCCTATGTCCTTTTCCCGAGTGATGTCTCCCTGTGACACCATCGGGAGCTTGCTTGGGAGCTGAGGCTGGCGGCTTGGTACCCAGCATCCTCTGGGTCTCGCTAGGGAAGAGCTTTTAAACAGAGCCACCTTTCCTCATTCATCCGTCTCTAACAGTTGATTCATGACACCAGCTGGCCACCTTGCTTGCTCAGTGGATTATCACTCCCGACTTCTCCGGGCATGGCCATATGCTGAGGCCCCTTGTATTTCCCTGTGGTTGACACACCCACCATCTCCCCTTCCACCTTGCTCAAGGCCATCAGTTGCCCACCAGGACATTCCTAAGCCTGCTACAGGCACTGAAAGTCATTTAATGCATATTTATTACAAGTCTCTGGAGTTATAGAGATGATTATATAAGTCCCTACCCTGCCCTCGGGAATCATGGAGGATTAGGAGGGCGGGGTGAGAAGCAAGCCCTCAGACCGCTGCAGGACTGCAGAATGCCACCAGAGGTGTGGTCAGGATGCCCCGGCCAGCTAACTCACCATTTTACTGAATATTCTCGGGTTTCTAACCACACCACCTATGGAAGTCCTGGTGGTATCCAGGTATATTCAGTGCTCTAGGAAATACCTATTAAATTGGAGCCTAGTCAATATTTTGACTATTGAGAACAAATAAAAACCAACATGGTTTCAAATAAAAGTAGGGCAGAGCCCACGGGACCTGCTCACGGTTTGGACATGGTTGGATACAGAAGGATGAGGTTTCAGAGTTGGGTAGCGGGCTGGATAGTAGTCTAGTCTAGAGAGGCTCATATTTGGTAAAGAGTCACAGGAAGCATCCTGGGAGAAGGCATAGCTGAGACACCAGCCAGGTCTAGCAGCTAGCTATTGCTGAAGGTGGGAAGCAGCTTTCTGGTCACTGTTGAGCCTTCAGATGGAAGATTTGCCCATGCACGGGGTCCATAGTGAAGATGAAGGAGCACGCCAACCCCCTCTAGCTCATGGGCAGGGAAAGGAAGAAGGGGTGCCGTGAGCACACACTGGGGTAACAGAGTACATAGAAGCTCCAGGCCCCTTCGTGGGCTCTTGATACCATGCTTTCCAGGTCCACAGAGGGGCCTGGGAGCTTCAGATCCAGCAGCCATCGTGAACTCGGCGTCTACAGAAGACGTGAGAAACAGTCCATGGCAAACAGCTCGGTGCGCCTAAAGTTCCAGTCACACTTGTCAGTCAAGGCAGTTTCCAGCAAGACACATCTCTAAGGGAAATGGCTTCCAGGCCAGGCTTTGGGGGAGCCAGGTGCCAAGTCCCACCCTGAAAGCGCTGGCTTCCCAGAGGCCTCCTGGAACCCACAAGATGCATTGGGTCATCCTTGGCCGGCTGTCTTTCTACTGTTAAGAGAGCCCACATCTTAGCTTGGCAGATTTAAAGATTTCTGAGCTAAAATTAAAAGGCCAACCCTGTGGAAATGGGCCCATGGCATAAAACCTTGTCCTCTGGAGGCTTCTTTCTAGATGCGAATGGCTCCTCTTCACTTCACATGTGGCTTTTGCCGAGAGCCATCTCCCTGCAGCTTAGAGGTTTCCTCTCTACACAGGCCCTGCAGAGCCGGTGCACTACTGAAGGCAGATACTGGCCCCACGTGTGTTTATCTGCTCCTGGCTTCTGCTCTCACTCCCGTTTTCTAAACTCAGCTGTCAAGCAGAAAAGGTGTTACTGGAAATAATAGCTTTATAATCTTGGGGAACGTCTGGCCCGTTCAGATATGTTTTTTCCTCCTTTTGCGGTCTTCATCTTGCAGACCTGCCATTGTATAGATCGCAGACTGATGACTTGGAGAGATGGTGTTTGCTTGTTTAATTTCTGAGTACCTTGTTTTAGGATCACAGAAAGATTGAAAGGAAAACCCAGGGGTTCCCATGTACCCGCCATCCCTAGGCACAGCCTTCCGTCATCCCCATGCCTACCAGAGTAAGCATGTCTATTAGGACATGTGTTGACACACTGTCAGAGTTCATGGCCACTCGAGATTAGAGGCCCTGCAGTCTTGGACAAATAGCCAAAGATATAATAGATATCTATTATCACCCAGCAGGTTTTCATGGCCCTGAAGATTTCCCACACTCTGCCTGTCTTGCTCACCCTCCCTTAGCTAGAGTGAGGTAGATTTTATGAAGGTGTTAGCTGACAGCGTGTGATAGTGAGGAACTCCCAGGGCCACACCAATGTAATCACTTTCCTTAAGTATCTCTATCTTGTGGGCCATTGGCTCTGTCACCAGGCCACTGAGCTCTGAAATTTGTCCTGCTACTCCCTCTTCAAAGTGACTGCTTTTGCTCATGTTGCTAGCAGACCAGAGTCCCCCGCATTTCCTAGGCTGCCACCCTCACCCCGGTTGTCCTTGTGCCTTTTCAGCCAGTGGCACAGAGGGGGCTGGATCCACGACTCGTGGCCCATGGAACTTACCACCTTGGCCACCTCTGTTACGTTTTATTTATAAAGTCACACTCGACACCTTCCCTTTCTGTTTTGTGAAGCCCATACAGAGGATAAAATATGGAAATTAAGTAGGCAGGAGGCTGAGCAAAGAGCCCAAATCAGGGGCTCAGTTGAGAGATGAACATCCCCCAGCTCGCAGCAGGCGGTCTGACGTGAGTGGATTCTTAGGATGACACGGAATAGTCGGTCTGCATAGAAGATCAGCTAACGAGTAGGAGATCACACTTTGCTGTCTCTGCCAGAGGAAGAACAGATCGAAATGCATTGCAGACTTTGTGTGAAGTTCCCAAAAGGAGAAGCCATAGGCTTGTGCTTAGGCATAGGGGAGTAATGGCATCCAGCGCCCAAACCTAGCTTGCTGCCATCATGAAGGACCACAGGCAGCATACATGCTAGGAGATGAAGGATGTCCGAAGGCCCGGCCTCAGGGCTAATCACTCTGATGCTGGCCTGGCTGCCCCTGCACATAGTCTCCCATCTCTGTGTGCCTTGTTTTGTATGTCTTCGAGAAAGAATAGTGACATCACTTTCCTGATAGGAATAAATTGGTGTCTGTGATAAGTTTATGTCAAGTGTTTCTAACCGAGATGGGAGAACAAAGGATTGTCCCTCTGTCCTGCCCTAGACCCATTATGGTTCTCTCTGGAACCACTCGCTGTATCAGGAGGCCACCCACTGACGTACCCAGCCCCAACCCAGCCAAGTCCTTGTCACCGGATGATGTTGGCACCGTTTAAGGGAAAATTGTTCTGTGAACACAAAGAGTTGAGTTTTTACTTCTGAGTCTGAGAATGTGTGCTACTGTTTCTTTAAGTAACCATTTGAGGGGAATTCACAGCTGGTGTTTCCAAACACCTGCGGTCTGTTGGAAGCATGATTATGTTCCTGAAATGTATCAATGTTAATAAGTACCTCTCTGAGCAGTCTATTTGGAAATAACATAATATGATATTGTTTTTGCTATATTATTGGAGCATTGTGGGAGGGAGGGGCTCCCTCATTTAAGCAGATATTTTATTAATTAAATTCCACTTTTCTTTTCTCTGCCTCTCATTTCAGAACGGTTTGACCACCACTGTCCCTGGGTAGGCAACTGTGTGGGGAAAAGAAACTACAGATTTTTTTATATGTTTATTTTATCCCTGTCTTTTCTGACAGTCTTTATATTTGCATTCGTTATCGCCCACGTCATTCTTCGTAAGTATGCTGCCAAAATCAGATTCCGTATGTAACCATTTGCCTGACTCCGGCTTTTCTGAGTTGATTTTGATTTATAATTTTTGATCATTTCTCGCTTTCTCTTCAATCTCTTTCCCCATCCCCCTCCTCATTTCCAGCCTGCCCACTCCGATTTTCACTTTGCCCATCTCTCCTCAGCCCTCCCTCTTTCCTCAACCCCATCCCTCAAATGGCAGTCTCCAGGTGACCCCTGGACCACTTGGACTAACAGGACTTTCCCCTTGACATGCATGCCCTCTCAAACCTCAGTGATGTCTGCTGGGGATCCCCCATAAGGTTCACCCCTCCATTTTGCACAAGGAACTACAAGCATGATGACAACCATTGAATACTGAGTCTATTTCCCTTATCTACTGACCCATGGTTTGAATATATACATCCCCAGACGAAGAATATGGCTGGGGACATATACTGGGTTTTTCATATGCACTCAATGAGATACTCAATTCTCTTCAAGAATATGAACAAACAACCTCTGACATAGAAAGTGAGGTTTGAGTGTAAATAATTTTAATATATTTGCATAAGAAATCAGCATTTTTTTCCCATCGCCATTCTGAACCTTCATACTGCGTTTCTTTTGTCTCTTAGTCACTCACTTTCCCACAATGGGAAATGATGAGAAAGGAGCTAATTGGCTTTGAACCACAAACCTTAAGCCTTTAAACTTTATTGGCGTGTCACTGCCCACATTAAGAGAGCAGCTCTGCCTTTCACCCGGTCCTGAAGCATACAGGCCCATTAGCAAGCACAAGCCTCACTCTGGTGTGCCTCTGGAAGTTTCTAAGCAGAAAGGCTTCACTTTCCTCTCCTGCCAGCATGGATCTCATGAATGGAGCAGGATTAGGCCCCTTTCCCACTTGTTCTGTTCCAGGGGCTTCGTCCCTGTGGGACTGGGGAAGAAGAATAGAGAAGGGCTTCCATTGGTCTCTGCTCCCTTTGGTCTCCACTGCTCCCTGCTCCCATTGGTTTCCATAAGTGTCAGTCAAGGATGGCCGCTCCATCAGCTACCATAAGGCTGACAGTGCTCTATACTGCATCGTCTTTGGTTACGATTCTTTTTTGTCCCAGTACGCACAAATCAGGAATACACGCCTGAAAGTCTTGAGTTAGTGAGTTCATGAAAAATGACTAGTCCCCACCAGAGTCCTCTTCCACCTTGGCGCTGGTGCCAACGTGTCTTTGCAGAGACCCTTTTGCTTGGGGTTTTCTGAATCCCAAAATGGCAGAAGTGGAGCCAGGAGCCAGTCTTTGGATTCACGCACAAGAGCAGCGAAGAGAAAGCCGAGAGTGTTAGGCGCTGTTCTGAAAGAAGCAGTCATTCACACGGACAGGGAGAGCACACGTGTGACGCTCAGAAGTAGTGGTTTAGCCATATGTGTGTGTGTGTGTGTATATATATATATATATATATATATATATATATATATTAATTTATAAACTTTCTTATAAAAGAAAGAGCCCTTGCAAATAAATTAAAAACACCACACACCCAATTTTAACCAGACGCTAAGTCTGTACAGCACCGCGAATTTCTTCATGTTCAAATCAACATGGCGTAAAATCTACCATCCTTCCAGAAATTTCTAAATGTTTTCATTTCACACCATCGGATTATATTCCTAGCTTCCGTCCTGCATCCTAGAGCTTTAGGGTTCATTTTCACTTGCTCAGTTGTCCGTATAAATGCCAGGAAAACGTGTGCACGCACAGTACAATTCATCACACTGTCCTTCATGCTCAGAGTCCTCACAAGCTCTCTCAGTCAGACCTGTTCACCTGTCTTCATGTACCCACACGTTCTCTCTCTCTCTCTCTCTCTCTCTCTCTCTCTCTCACACACACACACACACACACACACACACACACACACACAGAAGTCTGCTGCCTTCCCAGGCTTAGAACAGTGCTCATCCCCATTCACCAATGTATAAGTTTCATTTACCCTGGTTCCTACACGGTGGGGTCTATTTTAGTCTCCTTTTGTCCTGAGGTTGCCTTTGCTAGTGACCTGCAACTTGTCATTCACCGACTGCACCCTGCTGGATGTGAGGAGAGGCAAGAAGCTTTAAACACCTGTCTTCCCATATTAGTAATCAATGCAGTCCCTCTTGAGCCACCCTCCCCACCACCTAGCCATCCTCGTGCCTCCACGGTGAGCAGTAGGCCCACAGGGAGGGAGTCCCTGGAGGAGAAATATGAAGTGGAACAAAGCTCCCTCTTTACCTTCACATAGTGGGACATGGGTTGACAGTCACACAGAAAGACCTAGGACACTGCCCCTCACTCATCCCAGCCTACAGCTGGTTAATTGGCATCAAGAAGCAACGGTCGCCACACTAGATTAACAATTTGCATTCTGTGGCCCAGGCTTGTGTCACTTGAAGCACAGTGGCTTCAGTCAGAAGGGCCCAGAATCATCCCCAAGATAGCATTGACAAGACTTCCGCCTCAGACGTTGGGCTGAAGAGATTTTTCAGTGATAAAGGGCGCTTGCTGTGCTTCCAAAGGACTCCGGTTGGTTCCTAGCACCCACACTGAGCAACAGTATATAACTCTAGTTCCAAAGGATCCAACTCCCTCTTCTAACCTCCACAGGCATCCACACATGTATCATACACACACACACACACACACACACGAATAAAAATAAATCTTTAACATTGGTTTAAAATGTGATGGTAAGATATAAAACAATTCCTGTCCTCATCAGATAAAGCTGAACTCAAACCCCTCAGTGTTTTCTTGCAGGACTCGATCACAGGACAAGGAAACACCTTCACCCAAAAGAGTCAGGGAATGAACCTTAGCTTCGTTTACTCTGTGTACAAGAAGGAAGACTGTGGGTAGCCAAGTCCCTAAGACCTCTGCTGCCAAATGTTAACAGCTGTGGGCAAAACAGAAGGGATTATGTAGGATTCTGTTTTCCTGTTAAAATGAGGAAAACAAAAGAGCAATCAAAGCTATAATTTATGGAAAAATATACAGACATACATCTGCTTTCATTGGAAAAAAAATGTCCTGCAGATGTTGGTTCTAATTATGAATCTGCCATCTTCTTGAATGGCTTCAGTGAAATCACGATCTCCCGATCAATAAGCTGAGTGTCCTAACACCAAAGATGATCGTTTAATTGATATCTAGACACCTATTATTCTTATATAGATGAGAACATTGAGCACGGGCAGGCATGAATGTCTGGATACTAAATGTTGGCTTCATTCCCACAGGTTCACAGCAAACGGGATTCCTCAATGCCCTTAAGGACAGTCCAGCGAGATATCCTTTCTGGTGGCTCTGTGGGGACCTTGCTTGTGGATTCAGTATTTCACTAACCCCTACACTCTTACCTCTTTATCACCCTGGCTTTGGCTTTTCTTCTCATAAATCTCCTTCTTATTCATTCTGTAAGGCATTGGGAGCCTCATGATAAATGGCATCTGAACATAGCGTCTCCAGACACTCGTGCAGCCCTGTCTAAACTGAAGAGCTCTTTAGCTAGATAGCTATAGACAGAGTCTTGTCGGCCGCTCCCTGCCCTGGAAGCCAGCTGTGATTGGTGCTCCATCAGGTGAGGCTGAGGAGAAGCAGAGCTGTGAGCTCGCCTAAGTTCACTGTGATTGGCAGGTGCTGCTCGCCAGAGAGGGGTGTCTGTTTGGAGCAGGAGGCAGTGGCTGAGGCTCCTGGGCCACTTGAGAGACTTGATGGGGTACCTTGCAGCAGTCTCCCGCAAGTGCAGTGACCTATACTGTCTCTAGACATAGAACTCTCTTCCACAAACTTGAAAGGTCAGACTCAAGCCATTTAGACCAGCAGGGACCACTTTCCACCCTATACATACTCCCAAGCAGTGTGTATATCTAAGTACCATGGTATTTTGAATCTTTTTTTTAAGATTTTATTTATTTATGATGTCCATGGTGTTTGCTTGCATGTTTGCCCACAGGCCAGAGATGGTTGTGAGCCACCATGTGGTAGCTGGGAATTGAACTCAGGACCTCTGGATGAGCAGCCAGTGCTCTTAACCTCTGAGCCATCTCTCCAGCCCGGTATTTTGAATCTTAAAAGAAAAAGTGTCTGCTCATTAAGTGCTGAATAGGCTTCTGCTGGATTGCTGTGGCATCAAAATGGACCTGCTGACCGGGCTCCTCAAGACCCTTTCCCCTTCTGGGTAAATTGCATTTGAACTCTTCATTTTTCTCTTGAGTGATTTTTCAGAGGTGGTAGAGGACACTACCACATATGTAAACATGCTTTCTAAAGTAAAGGCACCCATGCCGTTGAGCCCTGGGCTGTGGACAAATGCAGTAGTGGGGATATTTAGATAGATCTGTAAACTGTGTGCGTGTGTGTGTGTGTGTGTGTGTGTGTGTGTGTGTGTGTGTGTGGTTACCAGGGCATCTTCAGTCACCAGCTGATAACTCATTGGTGAGTTCTGTATAGTGGAAGAAGACTGGAGCCATCCAGATAATGAGCAAAGGGGAGGGGGGGGTGAAGAATAAATTCCACGTGTCCTATCTCCTATTAGTGATCCAGAAAACTGGAGTTAGCAAGAAGAAAGGATGGTTCATGGAATCCAGTGCTCACCTGAGCTACTAAGAACAGGTTCAAGGAGAAATGGCATCCTTTGTTCTACTCCCCAATACCACCAGGGTGACCAGATCCCCTACAGCCATTGCCTCTATGACCGCCTGCTCTGGTGGATCTTAAGTGAAGCTCACCTGTGTCTTTCACAGCATCAGCCCTGCCTTATGGCATTGGTCCTCACCTTTCCTAACGCTGTGACCCTTTAATACAGTTCCTCATGCTGTAGTGACCCCCAACCATAAAATTATTTCCTTGCTACTTCATAACTGTAATTTTGCTACTGTTATAAATCACAATGTAAATATGTGAGATGAAGGACATCTGATGTACGACCCCCAAAGGGGTCATGACCCATAGATTGAGAACTGCTGTCTTACAAACCCCAGCCCTAAGTCTGGACACCAGCACACAGTGGGTGAATCTGACCTGTAATACTGCCTGCTTACAGAGCTTTGACTGACCGCAGCGCTGCCTGTAGTTCCCCCTTTCTAGATCTGCAGGCTTCAGAACAGGGCTCTGTTACAAAATGCTTGGCCAAACAGCTCAGGCTTATTACTAGCTAGCCCTTACTTCTAAATTAACCCATTTCTTCTCATCTATGTCTTGCCACATGCCTCCTGGCTTTACCTGTGCTCTAATACACCTTGCTCCTCCAGCGGCTGGCTGGCGTCTCCCCTGACTCTGCCCTTCTCTCTCCCTGTACCTGTATTCAGTGTGCCTTTCCTGCCTACCTATATTCTGCCTTGCTATAGGCCAAAACAGATTTTATTATCAGCCAATGAGAGCAGCATTTATTCACGGTGTACAGAAGGATTAGCCCACAGCAATTCAGAAGGGCCTGGTCTGTGGTGACAAGTCAACACACGACACATGCCTACTGTTCTCTTCCTCTGTGAACATCTGCAGATCTGGGTGCTTAAGGCCATAGACTGTGCTCTGGCAGGGCAAGGCACAGCATGGTGGGAAAAGCATCGCAGTGGGATTCATGACCTGAGGATGGTGAGAGCAAGGAGGGAAACAGTGGTGATTCTGAGGAGGTGTTTTTACATTTCCCATCTCTGTGACAAAGTAGCTCCTCGTGGTAAAGTTCACTGAGAAAGGAGTTTGTGGTCGAGTCTCACCTTGGCTGAACAGGAAACAAAACCAGGACCAGAAGCAGAGCCCTGTCCTTCAATCCTGTCCCCAGTGGCCTATGCCTTCCATTTAAGCCTCAGGTTCCCCAAGTTCTCAAACCTCCCCAAAGGGTGTCACCAACTAGAAATCAAGCTGTAAGGGACATTTCACATTCAAAGCACAGGAGAAGATTGTGCCAGGGTGCTGTGGACACAGAGGGTTGCAGGAGACAAGGGAGATACTAACACTGGGTAGATTGAAGAGAAATGGTGAGTTCTGGGTTGTTTATAAAGAGAATCTCAGATATTGATTTCTCTATCTATCTATCTATCTATCTCTTTACACACACGCGTCACCCCACTGTAACTTCAGGGTCCTCTTTTGTTACCTGCAGGTCCAACAGAAGGAGGGAAACCTGTAAAAACTCACAGAAAATACCACCGGTCAGGCCTACCAGGGAACCACGTGGTAACACTCCTCCCAGACTCCCATTGTGCGCAAAGGCAGAAAGCCTCAGGAGCAAGTGCAGGGAGACCAGGATGCCCTGGGAATCCTTGAGGAAGCCCCCAGAAAGGGGACCCTGTCATTCACAGTCATGTCAATGTAACATGGCATTAATGTTCCATTAAAGGGATTACAGTCCTTTTTAATCATGGCTTATTATTCAGCGCTCCCAAAATGAAAAGGATTTCCTGTGGTTGGTAAAGCAAATGGCAATTGATTCGGCTTTCCCCTAGAAAGCCTCTTTGTCTCCAATTTGCATTCATTGCGATGCTTACCCACCTGGGAGGCACCCACAGACTAATGGGCATTGGTCTATTTTAATAGAATTTACTAGAAGGTTGTCAGAAAGGGGGGGCCACCGTGTAGCAGAGTGGGAAAATACTGAAGGCAGCATAGGCTTTTGATAGCCCATCCATGCTGATAGGAGTTGATGTCCAAAAGACTACAAGAAAATAGAGACAGCTATCCTAGTGCTGCCTATGGCTGCCCCTGTGCCAGGAAGTCAAGTGACATCCCTGGTGGCACCTAAGCAAGAACCACATTCTCTCCACCACCCCTGCCCAGCCAATGGAGCAGACGGGGCCTGAAGCTTAAGACCCCGGTTACGTTGCATGGCATCACAATGTTGAGTTGATTAATGTTGAAGTTCTAAAATAATTCCAAAAGAAATATGACAGGAAGAAAGTGAGGATTTCCCTGGCCCTCCCTTGTATGGGACTCCTTGTCAGTTTTCATATGTCCGTCCAGAAAGTCTTCATGACATTGGAATACACACTTGTGTGTGGCTAAAGGGTTGCTGTGTCTTACAAGGACACTGCTCTTTGCGTTGTTCCTTGATTTTGTTTCGAAACATTACCTGGAGGTAAATCTACCTCATTCTCTTTTAACTACTTTCTAACCCCAGAGTCTGTATAGCCAGGTGTTCTTTGGGTGAGCATTTGCACTTCTTGCTTTATCTTCTGTTCCAGTGGTGAGGTTGTAGAGCCCAGTGCAGGGGCACATACCTATAATCCCAACAGTCGGGAGGTTGAGGTTAAGGATGCTCGATGACCATAGCAGGCTGCATACAGAGGAGGGAGGAGAATGGAACTGGTGTCCAGTGGGTAAATTGACAGTAACATGGTTTTTACCTAAAGGGTCCACAAAAGCATCTCGGGAATGCCTCAGAATCAAGCATCTGTTCCCCTACTACTAACTGTGAATTTTACCCCATCCTTGTGCTGTGAGCCATGTCGGAACATGTCCTATCCCATTACAGTCCCTTGCTCTGATGACTAGAAACACCTCCCCATGCCCTCAGCCCATGGTGGTCTCCCATTGTTCTTGTGCACCTTGTCACCTAAATGACCTTTAGAGCCCATCTGTCAGAGTCTGTTTCTTTTTTTCTTTTTCTTTTTCTTTCTTTTTTTTTTTTTTTTTTTTGGTTTTTCGAGACAGGGTTTCTCTGTAGCTTTGGAGCCTGTCCTGGAACTAGCTCTTGTAGACCAGGCTGGCCTACGAACTCACAAAGATCCGCCTGCCTCTGCCTCCTGAGTGCTGGGATTAAAGGCGTGCGCCACACTGCCCAGCCCTCAGAGTCTGTTTCTTAAAGGCTCTAGTTGGGAGTTTGGTTGAGCTCCTGGTCACTTCCGCTGTGAATCTGGAACCTCCACACGCAGGCGAGAAAGGTTTGAGATCAGGGCTGTGGTCAGATGAACCTGTGACAGAGAACTGTCACTTCCCCTTCTTACGGGGTCAGTCATTCATGCAAACTGCCTCCGTCATGGGTGCTATTCTGCCTCTAGGTAGAGTTATCCATCTGATGGGTGATGAAGGAGCCATTCCTGCCAGGTGCACGTGCTTCAGGATAGTCTGCCAGGCAGACACAGCCACGGGCCACCTCCACGGTCTCTTGCATCTAAAATGGTAGACACCCCTGCACAGTCTCTCTAATGAAAACTATGGGGTTCATACTTGAAGCCCCACCAAGAGGTGGCCCAGGGCCTTGGAAATGACAGAAAAGACAGGCCCCATGCAGAGCCCCTAAATGTGATTCCTTCCTGGCCCTTCAGAAAACCTGGTTAGTAAGGAAACCCAGAAGCACACATTCACACTCAACCACAAAGTAACAGCCAGGCCCATCTCAGTCTCGCCACGGAACACGGAGCCTGCGAACCTTGTGCTGCTGCCTCCGCTTGGGGTCTTAGGAAGGAATATGTGTTCCCCAGAAGTCCACGGACGCGGCTCGATTCTGCTCCGCTGGGGCTTGTTATCTGAGCCCTTAAAAGTGACTTGGTCTCTGGGCTTCTGCTTCCTGCCTGGAATAAAGGGATTAGAAAAAGTCAGGGCAGCTTGACTCAGGGATGACTCCGGACTTCTGTGTCTCCATGGTGCAGAGCACTTCAGGGGAGTTTTCTTTTAAATTACTGAGATTATAAGAAAAATCGTTTTTCTGGGCCTCTTTGTGAGGAAAGATCAGATGCTGAAGGCAGAGCTCGATGGTCTCCCACTGTTTATGATTATCCCCGGCCTGAAGCATCCTTAGCCACTTTCCCTGGCTCTCACCCAAGTTTCTGTGTTACTTCTCCCCTCGTCCATTTCCCCCCTTCCCTCCCCCCTCACCCCTCCTCCTCTGCAAGCAGAGCCCGGTCCCTGGAACACCGAGCTGGTGCCCGCCCAGCCTACTCTCTGAGTTCACGGGGAGGGCTCTGCAGGGAGTCTGTAGGCCAGCACTTTGAACATCACACTTAGTGCAGACTCTTAGAGTTTAAGGGAATCCACAGCTAGCCTCTGGCCCAAAAGGAGCTGCCTGTTTTATTGGCCGCTGGGTTAGACAGATAGAGGCTGGCAGTGGAAATGATTCTCACCCGAAGCCATCCCTGATTCAGTCAGCAAACATCCAACATCTTATTAAATTGACTCTCAGTGGAATTTGTTTCTTCTCATTTTTATTTTTAAAAAATGGGCCAAGACGTTTTGCAACTTTGAAGAGAATAGCACTTCCTGATCTTGTTACTGGACATATATTTTGACCGTCAAGCTGCTGGGCTAGTTGTTGGAATGCCTGTACCTGAACCTGAGCTCAGGTATGAGGAGAAGTTTTCCTTCGGTTTCCACAGATGCCCGGGCTCTTACAAACAGGGTCCTTATCTCCCTGAACTGGAATGAGGTCAGCCAAGGACCACTGACCTTCAGCGAGAATTGGGAAAAGAAGCAGCTGAAGAGTCTTGTACTGGCTGGGCATTCAACCCTCAGCTGTGCTATCATTGTTCTTAGGGTCTCTTGTAACCAAGGCTGGCCTCTCACCCTGTAACCAAGGATTACCTTGAACTTCTGATCCCCCTGCATCCACCTTTGGATGTACAGAACTGTCATAGGCGTGTACCACCTTGCCTGGTTTTCTGCAATTCCAGAGATTGAATGAAGGGCATTGTGCAGGCTAGGCAAGCACTCTACCCCCGAGCTACTCCCCCAGCTCAGCTCTGTTTCTCTAGCAAATTGCTTCCTTGCTTCCAGCCTTGGTATCCTCATTTGTTAAATGGGTGTGGTATTTGTCAGTGAACTACGCTCAGGACTGAGTCAGTTCCTGTCTCCAGTGATGCAGCCATTGTTCCACAAAAGCTTGCCTGTACCTCAAGATACATAGTCTTAGGCAGCATTATCAGCTGCGTGGGAGAGCCAAAGTACCTCGCTTTGTCCCTTGGCAACATGTCATTTTGTGACAGCTCAAAGCTCACAGAAGCACTGTGTTCTATCAACCAGTGAAGAAATGGCTTCTGACTCATGGAACAGAGTCATATAAAAGTTACATTTTTATAGGCTAGGGAGATGGCAAAATGCTCGCCATGGTAGCTTGAGAACCTGAGTTCAATCCCAGAATCCATGCATAGAGGCTGGCACAGTGGTGTGTACTTGTAATCCTGGAACGGTGGAGACAGAGACAGGCAGATTCCTAAGGCTCGATAAACACCCAGCCTAGCCTGCTTAGCAAGCTTCAGGCCTGTGAGAAACCCTGACTCAAAAGAAATTTTAGAGGTGAATGGCACAGAATAACTCCCAAAGTTGGACTCTGACTTCTAAAGGCACATAGGTGTACACATAGAAACACACACATGCACAGAAACTCAGAGAAATATACGTCTATACACACAGAGAAACTATGCACACAAACACACATAAGCACATACACACACTACCACCATTTTTGTCGTTTCTGTAAGCACCTTCAATTCCTCGCCCACCAATCACACTGCCTCCTAATGGAAGCAGTTAGTAATGCAGGTCCCACTGCAAATGGGGTCCCCAGGCACCCACAGCCCACTCACCTGCTTCAACTCTGTCCTACTTTCATGTGGCAGTTTTTGTGGTTCATGTTTGAGCCTTCCTTCTATGTTGATTTCCCCATCATTCTGTCTGGGCTGTAAACGGCTGGTGATGGACAGGTGTCTCTGAGATTGATGCTGGGCTCCCATCTTTATTCTCTTTTCTCCCCCAGGCCGCATCTTTCCCCCAGCTACAGTGTCACTTCATCTCAAAGTCTCTGATCTTGTCCCTTAGCTGCATAGAGTTCTAACTAGTGCCACTGCCTCTGGCTCAGGCTCCTTCCCTTGACTTAGCCTCCTCTCTGGTCCCCTAATCTTGCCTTCCTGAACTCCACCTCTGCTTTGTAGCCAGGGTGGGACATGAGGTTTTCCTGAGTTATCTCCTAGCCCTGATAGGTAGGAAAAGAAATGACATGTGGATGCCCTGGCCACTGGGATACATGAGCCATTGTTCCACACACACATAAAGCTCCACCACAGCTGTTTCCTGGAGGAAGCAGAGGGCTTCTGTGGCCCTGGCGAGGACTTTCTTCCTTCTGTTTCTCTTGTCCTTTAGACCCTCCCCCAACACCTGTTTCTCTAAAAGTGGATGTTGTGACTTCCTATGTTAGTGACTGTCTGTTCTCCTTTTCCCATTTGATGTGAGACTCATGTCCCAAACAAGGGCATCCGTCATCACACGAAGGCACCGGGTAATATATTCAGCTCTGTTCTCGGAGGTGAATTATTTTCAACCCGGAGACATCAATGGTGACACAGCACAGCCTGATCTATGTCCCTCCATCCGTGATTACATAAGGAAAGCACAAGGTTTCTTTACTTTCCCCAGTCCGTAATTCATTGCTAGGAGGAAGCAAGATGTATATTTAAGCCCCAGATCTGCCTCAAAATGAATTGGTTTTTCCTGAGAAACATCTGTATCTTGTAAATAGACTCTTATAAACATCTGTGGGATGGGAAAATTCTCTCATCCTTTCAAATCGCTGCCTTCTTGGTTGATCAATGCCAGCTGGTGATGAAGGCCATACTGTTCCTTCCTTGGAGGTGACACATCACGTTGAGTGCCTGGCTTTCGCGCACTGTCCTCTCCCAGCCCCTAGCACAGTGTCCTGGGCCAGGGATTAGCTGTGGAGCTGGGCAGGGGTCTCTAAGAAGGAGCGCCCCAGCCCAATTCCACACTTAAGACTCACCCCCCAGTTCATAGGCGTTAGCGCTTCTGACCTGCTTCATCAGTGGCACGAGACCAGACCGCCCACAGAAGCAGGAGCTTCTAAATCTCAGAAGCCATCCTATGTGTTGGTGGGTGGGTGAGGTGCTTACTGGAAAGAAAGTCCTCAGTATTTAGAAGCTAAAACCAGAGGGACAGTTAATATTTAGTCCTTTCATTGAAGGTCTGACCTACTGTTAGCTTCCATCCATCCTAGGTTGCAAGTCAGAGATGGTGAAGGTCAAAGGGGAAATTGCCCACTCTGAAGAGGGGAGTGATCCCCAGAGAGTGAGCAGCCATTCCAGAGCTGTGGCTGCCCCTCTGACTGGGGGAGGAGGTGGCAGAAGGTCTGAGGATGGCCACTGGCCTGAAGGAGGGAGGTTCTGGTTAGAGACTGGGACAGGACAGGAGACTAGAACTGAGCCCAGAACCCACCTGTGGGGTTTCAGCCCCTTCGCCTCCTGCCACCCCGCCTGTCTGGGAGACACGGGAATCCTTCTCCTTCTGTCGGTGTCCTTGACTCACCCACTGTGCTGGAGGCTGTGGTGTGCTTCTTCTCTGTCTGGTCCATCATTGGCCTCTCGGGCTTCCACACGTACTTGATCAGCTCCAACCAGACAACAAATGAAGACGTAAGTTCCTGACCATAGCACATGGGTGTCTGCGTGGTGTCTGCGTGGTGTCTGTGTGGTGTCTGCGTGGTGTCTGCGTGGTGTCTGTATGGTGTCTGCATGGTATCTGCATGGTGTCTGTATGATGTCTGCATGGTGTCTGCATGCCTCGGAGGAGGGAGGGGAAGGGAGAAATCGGGGTCACCTTTTCCCCTACGTCCCATCCAGCTGTGAGAACCTTGGGGACAGAGGAGGATGTGGAAGCCCTGTCAGGGTCCTACATGAATGTGTGGGGTATCCCTGCATCCTCCTACATTCTACCATGATGCCAGGCCTGGCCTAAGACAAGCCAAGTGACACCCAGTTCTGACCTGGAGAAGCCTCTTCAAATCCTCTTCAACCATTTTGGAGGCAGCTTGTCACGCTTCCCCAACCAAAGACACACCATGGCAGGCTGGCATCTTGGGGTCCAATGGCTTCTGGAGGAAATTGTCCTGACCCAATGTTGAACTTTGAGTCCTGGAGTGTCTTCCTACGCATAATGCAGGGGGAGGAGGGGGATGGGAAACATGTTGGAAACCCCTCCCAGCAAGTATCGTTCGCACCTGCTCTTCACACCGAGATTTCGTCTGTCTATGCATGTTAAATGTTTCCGAGCAGATCCAATTTCCTTAAATGAAAGCTGAGGAAAATAAATGATAAATAAATGAGATAAGGAACTGCTAAAACAGCGCATTCAACTTGGTAACTATGACTCCTGGAATCTGCAAGACGAACAGTTTTAACAAGAGGCTGCATTCCCAATCTCAAGTGGCAGTTAAGGAACCCGAGTTAATTTGTTTCGGTTAGCATTCACTTAATTACAACTTAGGGATAGGAAGGCCGGGCTCAATGGATAAGAACCTTTGCTCTGCAATCACGAGGGCCTGAATCTGATACCCCAGTACCCACACAGCCACACACGCCTGTAAACCCAGCACTGGGGCAGGGGTGGGGAAACACAGAGACAAGCAGTACCTGTGAGCTCACAGGCCAGCCCGCCTAGCTGAAGCCATAGGCTTCAGGTTCAGTAAGAGCCTCTGTCGAAGGCAACAGCATCACTGGAGAGCATCAGAGAAACACAGCAGGCGTCTCATCTTGGCTTACGCATGTAATAGTACATATGCCACACACACCTATAACACACAACACACAATAAACAAATAAATAAGACAGGGAGCAAGATATGAATATGAAAGCCAGAGTCTCCACCAGTTTCTATTAGAACTTGTAGTAGCGCAGTATAATCTTAAAGGAACGTTTTTGCCCCAGAGATTGCTACTTTCTCCCTAACCTAAGCTACTGTCTGAGGATATTTCTAAGTTTTCTATAAATGCTTGTTTTCCACAGAAAAAAAAAGTGCCTCTGTTTCTCCCAGTAAAGACTGTTTGTGATGCTAGTGGTGCCACCAGCGTAGGGCATGTGCTGGGCAGATGTTCTCCCACTGAGCTATAGCCCTTGTTTGCATCTCTCAAAGGCATCCCTGGGTCCAGTTGGCCAAATCCTAGACATTGTGTTACTGATGCTCCTTCTCTTTCAGATCAAAGGCTCTTGGTCCAATAAAAGAGGGAAAGAAAACTACAACCCCTACAGCTATGGGAACATCTTCACAAACTGCTGTGTCGCCCTGTGCGGGCCCATCTCCCCCAGGTAAGAGTCAGAGAGCAGTGCACTCAGTACAGGTCTGGGGAAAGCTGCCTGGCCCCACCTGCTGGAGCTGGCCATACCCACCGATGACCCCAGTTCCACTGTCTTTGGTGTGCCGCTTAGACACACCCAGTGACACAGAAGCCTGGCTTCGTTTGGTCATACTTCGCTTCTTTTTGGTCGTGAACTGATTTGTGTCCTATTGGGAAGACATTTTATATTTCAGACTAGGAACCAGAAGCATGTGACCTTGCTCATTACTGGCTGCCACTGAGCTTCTGGGATGACCTGGGACCAGTGATTAGCACAATTAAGGAGCCAGAGCTGTGTGTAAGAAGCAACTAGAAGCTCTATAGGGATAAATGCTAGAAACCATATAGGGATAAGGGCTAAAACTGAGGGGCAGGCAGGGTGCTCACCTAGTCCCAAGGGAGAGCTTGAGAAAAAGAATAGACGGTGTTGTCAGGGTGACTGTGTGTGTGTGTGTGTGTGTGTGTGTGTGTGTGTGTGTGCACGCGCGCACATTTCCTTCCTATGTGCTTTGTATGTATCAGCTTTGAAACACGCATTCCATGCCTATGAGGTGGATACCATTGTCTTCTGTTTTATCATAAGTAAACTGAGGCACAGAATCTAAACAACATTGCCCAAGACTGCACAGCCGGCAAATGCTGGCCAATCAGACCATCTGACCTTTGAACCAGTGTGTGCCGTCGCGGGTCAGAATTGTACAAGTTCAAAATACAGCCAGCATTTGGTTGTTTGTGAGTGACACAAGAGTAGAATACTTCTTAAGAAGCCAAACTTTCATCTACTGAAGCACAGTTAATAAAAACTCAGAACGAGAAATTGGGGTTCAGCCTGCAGGTCAGAAAAGAAAAACAACCAGCCACTGATTCTTACCTCTACCTCAGACCGAAATGGCAATCCTGCTTCCAGGAATCTCAGAATGAGACTGTGTGAGAGCTGTCTCCTCCCGTTTTATATTCCTCTCTAGGGCTGGAATTAAAGGCGTGCACCACCCGGTTTCTACGCTAAACCAGTGTGGCTGCTGAGATGAAAGGTGTGTGTTAGCACTGCCTGGTCTGTACGGCTGACCAGTGGGGCTGTTTCACTCTCTGATCTTCATGCAAGTTTTCTTTGTTAAAACAAATGAAATGCCACTACAATCTACAAACATCCATGGCAGGTATCTGACTGAGCTTCTAATTGACTCATGCTTCCTCTGCCTGGTCTCAAAAGTGGATAGCCCCCAAGGCGTTTCCCTTTGTACGAGTAGATCTCACAGGCTTGAGCTTCTGAGACGTACTCTCCTTGCCACGGCCAGTCTCAGCAAACCCTCACTAGAGAGGGAGTGTAACTGGGGGGAGGGGGGGCAGCCCTGACGTGTGACCAAGGCCATTCAACCAACCACAGAGTCAGACAGCTGTGTTCACAGCATGGTGGGTGAGGGGGAGCACTGGATGACTAGAAATGGGTCCTTTCCCAGCTCTGGCCCAGAACATTAGGAGTGCAGTAAGTCTCTCTCCTCCTGAATTAGGGGGCTCTGGGGAACCCCATCTACTCTTTTTTGTTTTGTTTTTCAAGATAGTGTTTCTTTGTGTAACAGGCCTGGTTGTCCTGGAACTCGCTTTGTAGTCCAGGCTGTCCTCAAACTCAGATATCCACGTGTATCTGCCTCCCCAGTGCTGGGATTAAAGATATGCGCCGCCGCCGCCCAGTCCCCCATTTACTCTTCGGAGACTTCTCTTAAGGAGCAAACAGACAAAGCAGGAAAAGCCCAGGATTACCTGGAGATGAGGATCGGGCCTTTCTCATAGGCACCAGCCCCTCAGGAAGAGCTTCAGATCCCCCTGGACTGCCTTCTCGGGATCCTTTGGTCAGGAAATGTAGGGCCCGGGTCTACCCTTGTTCCTGGGGTGCATCTTGAGGACAGTTTCTGGTCAGCTAACTAAAGCATCCTGTTTGTTCCTGTGCTCCCTCTGTCCCGCCTGGTGATTAGCTGTAGGGCATTGACTCCATCTTTGGCATGGTAATTTCCCACCTGCCTGGGCGGAAATCCTTGTGCAGCAGCTAGGTATATAAGGATTTCCCCAACGTTGAATAAACGGCATTCGGCTGATCTCCTTTCGAATGACCCAGGTCTCTTTGTGTGTTCTTTCAATCTCCAGGCCCTTGCCTGACTCGCGTACGGTACAGTGGTGCGCGCGAACTGTACCGAGGGGGTAACACAGAATCGGGTGTTACAAGGAAAAACCTTGGTGAGCCATGAATTACTCACCACCTTAGATTGTCTTTCTGCAAGTGTGGTGTTGAGTCCTAGGGTAGGCCATAGAGAGGGCTTGGAGGAAGGTAAGAGCAAAGACCCAAACTCTGGTTCCCTTAGCCAGAATCCATGCTAGAGTCCAGAAAAGGCACTGAAACTCCCTGCATCCCATCCACATCTCTTCCTAATCCTGGTCCTGGATTTGCATGCCGCTCTGTGCATATATTCATAGATCCAAACTTGTAATGACCGAAATGACCTCCCTGACAAATGGATTGACTTGGTGTTTGTACTGGATGGTTTTATGTCAGCTTGACACAAGCTAGAGTCATTAGAGAGGAAGGGACCTCTAATTCCTCCACAAGGTCTGGCTGTAGGCAAACCTGCAGGACATTTTCTTAATTGGTGATTGGTGTGGGAGGGTCCAGACCATTTTGTGTGGTGTCAACCCTGGCCTGGGTTCTCTAAGAAAGCAGGCTGAGTAAGCCATGGGGAGCAAGGCAATAAGCAGCACCCCTCCATGGTCTCTGCAGCAGCTCCTACCTCTGGGTTCCTGCCCTGCTTGAGATCCTATCCTGTCTTCTTTTGACGATGAACAGTGATGTGGAAGTGTTAACCAAACCCTTCCCTCTACAAGCTTCTTTGGTCATTGTGTTGATTATAGCAATAGCAGCCCTAAGACAACTGGGTACTGGGGGTCTATTGCTGTGGTCTAACCTGGCCATGTTGTTTGGGGGAAGATTGTGAAAGGGCTTTGGAATTTTATGCAAGAAAAGCCATTGAGCTCAACGCTTGATGAGTTCTTCTGTAGGAGCCTGGAAGATAAGAATGCTGAGGGTAATGCAGACAATAGAGGCCGGGCTTCTGAAGTTTCGGAAGGAAGGTTAAAGACTCTTTCAGGGCCATGTGTTATTTTGAATTAAGGTCCTGTGGTTCTGGGTAGCTGGGGCTGAGGAGTCAGCTGTGATGAGCAAGATCGAAGGGCTGGGACACTTGATGCTGGTCAGCCGGAGAGGAGAAGTTAGTAGTGATTAAGAAGAGAACAGCGTAACTGAGGTGAAATCTTCTTGGAAGTGTTTCAATGCACAAAAGCTGTGCTCCAGAGATGGTCAAGGTTGCACCTTGCATGGCAGCCAAACTTGGAATCTCAGAGTCACCCAGGCCATACTGATTTTGAAGGCATAAAAGGAGTCATGGAGAGCAGATGAGGCTTGGCACCGTGAGAGGCCAGGAGAGGTCATTGGTTAAAGTGCAGCCTCAGGAGCAGTAGAAGGCCCAGGATTGAAAGGGTCTTGCAGAGAAGCTGAAGCTTGGCACCATGAGGAGAACCTATGGTGGGCTGTCGGTGAAAGTGCAGCCCAGTTGCAGCAGAGAACCCAGCATTTTGAAGATGCCGGTACCACAGGAGGACCAAGAACAGCAGCAGTGGTGGAGTGGAACCAGCTGGACCCTGGAAGACAAACTGAGTATGCTGCAGGGGACAGAGCTGCGAAGTGGCCCGAGCCCCTTGGAGGAGCCCAGAAGGACCACGAGTGAATCCCAGACTCTAGACATTGAATTATTTATACTGGTGGAGTTTGGTTTTGCTCTGTTCACATTGTGACTTGCCCTGGGTCTTCCCTTTTGAAGTGAGAAGGTATTTAATTTTTGATTTTTACAGAAGCCCACAGCTGAAAGATTTTGAACTTTCACAAGAGATTTTAAATTTTTAAGGAGATTAGATATTTTAGAGACTGAAATTTTAATGTGTTTGAATTTGTAAGGAATGGGGAACATTTTAAAGTTATATCTTATATCGTGATATTAATATTAATGTGCCATCTTGGGGAGTTTGTGTCGGATGAGTATGTAGACCTGGTCAGCCTTACAGACCAGACAGTGGTAACACACACCTTTAATCCCAGTAACCACACTAGTTGCCATAGAAACTGGGCGGTGCATGCCTTTAATCCCAGTGGTGCACGCCTTTAATCCCAGCCCTAAAGAGGACTATAAAATGTTTGGAGACAGCTCTCAGGCACAGTCTCAGTCTGAGATTCCTGGAGACAGAATTGCCATTTTGGACTGAGGTAGAGGTAAGAGCCAGTGGCTGGCTGCTTTGCTTTTCTGACCTTCAGTTGTACCCCAATTTCTCTTTCTGGGTTTTCACTAATAGTGCTCCACCTGGTTAGAGGTTAGCTTCAATTTCTGAGGTTGGTATACTGAGCTGTGTTTCATTTTACTTGTGGGGACCAAGGATGCTAGGCTGGAGTGACCTCTACCCTTTTACACCCCACTCCATTGAATCAACTTGACAGAGTCTGAGGAATCCATAGGGAAAGGCTGGGTGTTAATGGGCACCCCAGGGTTGGCCCCAGGCCAATGAAGGTGATAATGTTCATCTCTGCCCTTCCCTCCTGCCTTTTCTGGCCTTTTCTTCCCTCAGCTCTGTGTCCTCACATAGCAGGGCCTTTTCTTCCCTCAGCTCTGTGTCCTCACATAGCAGGGCCTTTTCTTCCCTCAGCTCTGTGTCCTCACATAGCAGGGCCTTTTCTGTCAGGCCAGCCAGGTCAGCAGTGCCATCACCTCGGACGTAGTTTGAGTTGCCTTTCTCAAGAAGTGGGGTAGTCTGTGATGAAGGGGTAGTCTGTGATGAAGGGGTAGTCTATCTGTGATGAAGGGGTAGTCTATGATGAAGGGGTAGTCTATCTGTGATGAAGGGGTAGTCCATCTGTGATGAAGGGGTAGTCTATCTGTGATGAAGGGGTAGTCTATCTGTGATGAAGGGGTAGTCTATCTGTGATGAAGGGGTAGTCTGTGATGAAGGGGTAGTCTGTGATGAAGGGGTAGTCTATGATGAAGGGGTAGTCTATCTGTGATGAAGGGGTAGTCTATCTGTGATGAAGGGGTAGTCTGTGGTGAAGGGGTAGTCTATCTGTGATGAAGGGTAGCCTGTAATGAAGGTGTAGTCTGTGATGAAGGGGTAGTCTATGATGAAGGGGTAGTCTGTGGTGAAGGGGTAGTCTATCTGTGATGAAGGGTAGTCTGTGATGAAGGTGTAATCTGTGATGAAGGGGTAGTCTATGATGAAGGGGTAGTCTAGTTAGTCAAGAGAAATCAAAACTGATCATGTGCAGGAGGGGGCTAGGGAAAAGTGCGAGACAGAAAAAATGGGTAGGGTGCCTTAGAGTTTCTATTGCTGTGAAGAGATGCCATGATCATGGCAACTCTTATAAAGGAAAACATTAACAGAGTGGCTTAGAGTCTCAGACATTTAGTCCATTATCATCATGGTGTGACATAGCAGAGTGTAAGCAGACATGGTGCTGGAGCTGAGAGTTCTACATCTTGATTGGCAGGCAACAGGATGCAAACTAAGATACTAGGCATAGCTTGAGCATATATGAGGCCTCAAAGCCACCTCCACAGTGACATATTCCTCCAACAAGCCATACCTACCCCAACAAAGCCACACCTCCTAATTGTGCCACTCCCTATGAGCTTAAGGATGCAATTACATTCAAGCTACCACATACGATATGAGGGTCCTGTCTTAATGGATTTCTATTGCTGTGACACCATAGCCAAAAACAGCTCAAAGAGGAAAGGGTTTATTTTATCTTACAGCTTATAGTCACCCAGGGTTCATCTAACAACCTCCCATTGTAACTTCCCTGATATAGGCAGAGCTATTCTCCAAGTGGTCAGGTATACCTGTTACTACAGACCTAACCTATTGTCATGAACCCTGTTCAGGACTTGGAGCTCCCTTCAGGGATTCTCTGAAGCTAAGTTGTCTGGTACTGTCTGTATAGTACTTCCTGGGGTGCTGTAACTAAGTGTCATGAGAGGAGGGGCTGGAAATAACATGTTGTCAGAGGTTTCTGTCCTGCCCGGTTCCCACAGTCATTAAGTCCCAAAGAAATCACACAGAGGTCTACATTAGTTATAAAACTGATTGGCCCATTAGCTCAGGCTTCTTATTAACTCTTATAACTTATATTAGCCCATTATTCTTGTCTATGCTAGCCACATGGCTCTGTACCTTATTCAGCGAAGTAGTCACATCTTACTTCTTCTGTGGCAGGGTCAGGATTGCAGAGAAATGGGCTTCCTCCTTCCCAGAATTCTCCTGTTCTCATTGACCCACCTCTACTTCCTGTCTGGTTGTCCCACCTATACCTCCTGCCTAGCTACTGGTCAATCAGTCCCACACGGACACGTAGTTCTCACAGTCTGAGATCAGAAGTCTAAAATAAAGGCATCACCAGTTGAACCGTGCGTCTTCTACGTAGGAAGTGTTTATCCTTGCTCTGCCCAGCCTCTGCTGGTGACCAGCCATCCTCGGTCTTAGCTTCTACGTTCTAGTCTGTGCGTCCATGTTTTGTGGCCTCCTTCCTGTGTCTGTTTCTCCACATGGCACTGCCATCTGTCTTCTCTCCTTAAGGACACCAGTCTTAGTGGGCTGAGACCCTTTTTAGTTAGGAATTCATTTCTCATGGTTACCTTTGCAAGGTAACCATAGGTTACAAATAGGGTCATTCACAGGTGCGGGGATTGGCACAATTCATTCCCCAGTGCTCCTCTTCAAGCCAATGTCAGTGGACAGAGGAGTGGGAGAGAATGTGGCTTTGGTGGGGATGGTTTGAAAATAAATACAGAGAGCGCAAAGCAGAGGGCATGCAGGTGTGGTTTGCTCTGGTCTCCCACAGTACGGTATGGGCTCTCAGAAGATATTTCTGAATTGGTGTGCTAAAATGATGTGGCCTTGAAACTAGAGAAGAAAGTTGAGAACAATTGTGGCAGTGGGAGGTAACAAAGAGGAAGCTGTTGGGGCCTGTAGCAGGTGACAAACATTTAGAGTGACAATAGGAGCAACCAATGCCACAGACCTCTTAAAAGTAGAAATGACAGGGAAGGATACAATTCAGTGTTAGAGCATGTGTCTAGCATACACAGGTTCAAATCTCAGTACCCTAAAGGAAAAAGTGACAGAATTTGGTAACTGATTTAATGTGGAGGATGCTTATGGAAAATTCCAAGATGCCTAGGTGGGTTCATCACAGAGCCTGTTTGAATCTCTTTTCCTGTTTCAGGAATAACATACCCTGATAAAAACAATTTAATGGCAGAAGGTCTTATTTTGGCTCACAGGTCAAGGGTACTTCAGGACAGGGAAGTCAAGACCAGAGGAGCTTGATATAGCTGGTCACATTGTATCCACAGGAAACAGAACAACAATGCTTATGCATACCTCACTTTCTCCTTTGTAGCTGTAGCTGAATATTTTTCAGCTGGTCCCCCTGGACTGGGTTCTTTCCTATTCATGGGTCCCTGCAGGTGCTTATGGAATAGCACTCTAAGGTCACAATTGTTTGGCCAATGGCTCAGGCATATTACTGACTAGCTCTCACAACTAAATTATCCCATTTCTATTCATCTGCATCTTGCCATCAGGCTATGGCTTACCAGTGATGCTCTGGCATGTTACTCCTTCAGCGGCTACATAGCATCTCCATGACTCTGCCTTTCCTTTCTCTGAATCTTTGTTTGGATTTCCTGCCTAGCTGGCCATTGGCTGAAGTAGCTTCATTCATCAACCAATAAAAGCAGTGCATATTTGCAGCATCCAGAGGGACGTCCCACGTCAGTGTAAAGTCCAGGACCCCAAGCTAGGGAATGGTACCTCCCACGGTGTGAGGATTGTTCACAATCAAGATAATCTCCCAGACATGCCCATATATAGTGGTATACTATTTGTGATTTAATAAATAAAAGTTGCCTGAAGATAAGGGGGCAAAGCAGTCACACTAGTCAACCATACAGGCCAGGCGGTGGTGGTGCACACCTTTAATCCCAGCAGCCACTCTAGTTTGCCATAGAGGCCAGGCGGTGGTGGTGCACACCTTTAGTCCCAGCACTAGAGAAGCATATAAGATGTGAGAAAACGGGTCTTAGGCTTAGTCTGAGGATTCATGGAGACAGGATATTGCCTTTTGGTCTGATCTCTCTGGTGGTTGGCTGCTTTGCTTTTCTGATCTTCAGCTTTAACCCCTATATCTGTCTCTGGGTTTTTATTATTTGTGCTATACCCATGGGCTCATCTCCCAGGTGATTCTAGATCTCATCAAATTGACACTTGAAATTATCCACTGTAGAGGGACCCCAAGCCTAGCCATTTAAATAACATTATTATTATCTTTGAGCTTTTCCTCAGCCTCTCCTTCCTGTGTTTGTTCTTCTGCAGCCTCATCGACAGAAGAGGGTACATCCAGCCCGATACACCGCAGCCAGCAGCACCATCCAACGGGATCACCATGTATGGGGCCACGCAATCACAGAGTGACATGGTAGGAACTGCCTGCATCAGGGCCACTGTTCCCTGCAAAGCCCTCTCTTCTGCTGGCATGCCCTCTAACCTAATAACACATGCCTGAAAAGCAAATGTTAGTAGGAGGGGCATTTGGAACATCCATATGACTGGCATGCTAGCATGGGAGAAGTAAATGACCAAGTCGGACAGTATTCAGGGGGGGACCGTGCCAGCCAGTGTGACTAGCTCGTTACTTAACACACACACACACACACACACACACACACACACACACACACACACACACTATCTGTGCTCCAGTAGTATATGGCACATTGAAGGAAGCCCTTGCCACACAATCAGAGATCATGTAAAGGACAGCATCTGCCTTTCCCCCAGGGCTGGACCTGCTTTGTAGTCTTCATTTCCTGTGCTGTCCATCCCCACGGTGTGATGTTACTATACTAATGTACCCTGCTTCTCTAAGGAGGCAGACCAATGTGTCTCCGTAATTCCACCCTGAATCTTAGCCCGGCTTGCAGCTGCTTTGTACAATTTCAGACCCAGGGCTCCGTTATTTACAGTGTAAACCAAACTCCCTGCACGCCTCTCCTGAGCATGCATGCGCCATGCCCAAATCACCGTAAGGCAGGAGGTGGGGAGAGAGCAGGAAATGCCTTACTGTGGACATCTGCAGCCACTGCACATTGACTGTGACCCTCGGAGCCTGAGCTTCCTGAGGTATTTGGAAGCCAGTGGCCTCTCCATTTGCCTAAAGAAGCTTCCAGCTTCCGCAGAACTTGAAGTTGAACCTCCCACCCACCCTGCTGCTTGTCATTTGTGCAGCTGAGTCTCCTACACGGAGTTTCCGTGTCATACAGAGGAGCTGGCTGGGGATAGACTTGGGGAAACCTCGCTGCTGAGCAGAGAGAGCTGCAAGGCGAATGTTGGTGGCAGGCTGTCTCCAAGCCCTGGAGCTAGGAAATCATCCCATTCCCTGGTCACCTAGGGCTCAAGCCTGCTGCAGTAGAATTGCTCGAGTTCATTGTTTGCTGCCGGTGGCGCCTTGGTTGAGCTGTGTTGCCTCACCAGCTAATAGTCTCCTCTGAAAGCAATGTGGACACAACGCAGTCTCTGGCACTCTTCCCCATGGACACCCACGCATGCCCACACAAGGAACCCTGCAGGCCTCTTACCATATTTCTCAGGGAGTCAAGAACGGAGAGAGTAGGATATGTGCTCACAAAAGGGAGGATATTGAATTTATTAGGCAGCAGATGTCCAAGATACTTAACGACCTCATTTAATCCTAAACCAACAGTGGAAAATTATCACTCAATTTTTTTTTAGCTGTAATAGGAGTATAGCAGAATTTCCACCAGTGTCTAGTGATTGCTTCTCTGACTGGCACACATACTATATGCATGCAAACTCCCACCCATTCATCCAGCACCTTCCCAAGGTTCTTGCTGTGTGCTGGGTGCTAGACTCCTGGGATAGAAGGCTTATAGTGCTTAGCCCCCCATATTCAAGGTCCTGGGAGTCAGCACAACACCGAAGCAAGTCCATTAAGGCAGTGTTAGCAACCTTCACCAGATGGCAGTGTTCTTATGGAGACTGGTGGCCTTGCATTAGTCTCTGTGAGATCCCCTAGCAATGACCCCCTTAGATTCAGAAGCTAAACAAGGGCATCGTGCAGGTGCTATCAGCCACTCTGGACTCTGTAATAGAACATGGATTAGTTGCTTTTACATGGCGTTGATCAAAATACCTGTGAGAACAACGTAAGGGAAGAAATACTTCTTTGGGCTCACGATGCAGCTGATGGTTCGGCTGACAGTTGCTTGGCCCCTTGTGCTCGGGCAAGACGTGATGGTGGCAGGAGCATGCGCAGAGTGTGATCTTCACTTCAGGGAGAACAGAAAGCAGAGTGGGGGAGGGGAGAGAGCGAGAACGGATAGGAAGAGGGAGGATGCCCTTTTTGGACAAACACCCAAGTGACCTAAAGGATCCAGAACCTCTCACCACTGGCCATGCCTCATGAGCCTGTGAGAGACGTTTCACAATCAACCCATAATAATACAGAACTGTGTGGTCATTCCGTGGTCCTGGACACTTGGGCCTGCCATAGGAGTGGTGCAGAGGCTTCTCTTCCACAAGGAGTTACTGTAGAGTCAGCAGGCTTCAAAAGTCCAGGTGCTAACCGTTACACGGTGGAACTGAAGCCAGCCTGTGGATACCTTGAAGAGGGACAGAGAGGTGGAAGGAGGGAGAACTGGCCGCAGAGATCAAATAGCCACCACTTACCCCATAAGTGAGTCTGACAAGTTCCATAGCCTTTCCTGGACTCCATTCTTAAAGTGAGAACATTGATGGTGCCATCTGGTAGGACTTCTGTGAAGATAAAGTAGGAGAATGGATAGCATTTAAATCTTGCCTGACACAGGGTGGGTACAATGTAAGCCTTCGCTCTTATTATTCCCTCCCTGGCGTTCATGGGTAGCAAGATCGGGAGCTGTTGTAGTCGGACAGGAGAGTCCATGGCTGACGAGTGTAAGAGCTACCAGTTATTCGGAGCTCGTGCTGCCTCTCTGGTCCTCAGCATTGCTCCTTTGCAAGATAGGAGCCAGGACTTCCTGTGTCTAAAGTCCCTTCCGGCTCTGGCCAATTATGGGTCCAATCTTTGAGCATCACAGTCCCAATACATAGGGTAGCCCCACCTAGAAGAGGATGGGACATGGCTCTCAGTTCTTCCTCCTCCAACCCATCACGCCCCACAATTCCCAAACTGAGTGCAGTCCAGTCTACCTGCCACCTCCGCCCCTCCCCCAGAGATTTTCACTGTGTGTTCCTCTTCTCATTTGTCTTGTGTTTCTTATGTATTTCCGGGGATACACAATTATCTTCTTAGGCTGCTTGATTCGCTTTGCTGGTATTTGGCTGAGGCACGAGAGACGTGGTCTGTGGATTCTTTCTCCTGTAAAACTCTCTCAGTGTTGGTGTCAGAATGATAACTGCCCTTCTAGAATGACTTCAGAAATGTGTCCTCTAGTCTTTCGCTGAATAAGCTGTGAAAATGGATGCTGTCTTATCTTTGCCGATGCGGAAGAACTCCCCAGCGAGGCCTCTAGCTTTGAGTGTTCCTCCCTCTGTGCTTAGGAGTCTGTTCCGATTTCTGTTTCTTGGCCGATGTCAGCTATGGGTGTCCCTGTGGAGATGTGTGCATCTCAGCCATTGCTGTCAATCCCTACCTGTCTTACATCAGTACTGCTCTATTCTGAAAACTTCTAGATGGCTGAAATGTTCAATATAAAGTTCCAGTAACTGGTCAATGTGGGAGGAAAGAGACATAGACTGAGACTTCAGTGCAATTATAAAAGCACACGGTGGAGGCCCGGCCAGATGGATCATTGGGTAAAATCGCTTTCCATCCAAGGATACAAGCTTGATGACCCTTGTTGGGCCCCCAGAACACACATAAAGCCACAAGGAGAAAACCACATCTGCCAAGTTTTCCTCTGACCTCCACACGTATGCTGTGTTCTGTACACACATACTCACACACAATAATAAAATAATAACCTTGAAATCATTTTAAAAGCTCATGGAATAATTCTCTGAGGGGTAAGTTGGGATAATTTTTGGAGGATAGTCCTTGTTTTAATCTCGGTGTTTATGTGAGGATGTGTGTTATATGTGTTCACACGTGTGAGAACAGGTGCATGTATGCCACAGCACATAGAGAAGTCAGAAGACAGCTTCAGTTCTTGGTCCCTGACTTCCGCCTTGCTTGAGGCAGTATATGCCAGGCCAGCTGGCCCATGATCTCCTGGTGACTCTCCTGCCTCCGACTGCCATCTTGCTCCTGCGTGTGGATACGCACCACCATGCCCAGCTTTATGTGGTCCTGAGGGTCCAAACTTAGGTCCTTGCACTTGGGTGGGAAGTGCTTTACCCATGGAGTTATTTTCCCAGCCCGAATTTTGGTATTTATTTTATTTAAAAAATACATGTAACTCTCCTAGCTGAGAGAGTGGTACCTCCAGCCAAAGGACTCAACCAGGGGTCACGGATCTTTTGCTGTTTGCTTTGCTCTTTCTTTGAGTAGCATCAGGGCCAAATGTACACACCTGGCAGTCCTCTGGAGGTGAGGCGTATGGTAAAGTTAGTGATGGTATTTAAGAGTGACGGCACAATTACTTCTTTGGGGCTATTAAAACATTCCTCTCGTGACTTCTAGACTGCCTATAACGGACATCCCAACTTCTCTCTCTCTCTCTCTCTCTCTCTCTCTCTCTCTCTCTCTCACACACACACACACACACACACACACACACACACACACACACAGCCAGCACAACAAGACCAGCAGGGTCTGACCAGCATTTCCCAACAGCTCCCAAGCCGTCTGGTGTCTTCTAATGCAGCCGGAGATAGCAGGCATCTCTCCTCTGTTCCTTGGAAACAGAAGCAGCTGGCCCAGCTGTTTGCCAAGAAATCTATCACTTTCCTCTTTATGGATTTATTTTACAGAGTTAGCACTCACAATCAATTTGAAAAATCTTGTATCCTAATCCTCAATATGAAACAAACATGCAAATCCATTAATAGTCAGAGTCATAAAGTGAACTTCAAGCCAGTTTGAAGCAAAGCCAAGTTGATTGGGTACAGACCCGCACTGCATCTAGTGATGCTCTCTGGGGATCTGCTCTCCTAATAACTTTTTAAGTGGTGTTATTTGTGAGGGCTGTCTTGTTCTGTCCTCGCTACAGCTTAGAAGACATCCCCAGGGGTGGGGGTTTGGATGAGAGCGTTCTCCATGGGAGCATTCATCTGAACACTTGGTCCCCAGTTAGTGGAACTGTTTGGAGAGGACTAGGAGGTGTGGCCTTGCTGGACTGTGTCACTGGGAGTGGGCTTAGAGGTTTCAAAAAGCTTCCACCATTCCCAGTGGTACCCTTTCCCCTCCCTTGCTCCAGCCACTGTGCCCACCTGCTGCCTCTGTCCTACTTGGGACAGTCCTCTTTAATACAAGAG